GGTTATACAAGCGAGCCACAAACATACCCACTATTTATTCAACTAAAAAATTTAAGTTCAACTTTGTACCGTATCTACTATTAGAGAAGTTGAAAAGGAGACAAGATTCCCGTATAGAAATAGTTGAGGGAAAGAATTGAAATGTAAATAAAAAGATGCCGTTAGGACAAGCACTTATGGAGTACTCAGTGGTATCCCATTTTCCGATGTTGAAGGTAAATGCATCAATATCGACCATGGTGGGAAATTGACGAAAAAATCTAGCAAAAAAAATAGGCAATTCCAAAAAAAGTTGTTCATTTCCTGGAAGCACTAACGCTTCATTGGACTTTCGAATACGGAACGCTTTGCTGATGACGTCAATAGAGGAAATAAGCCAAGTTTCCAAAAATGAACCAATTAAACTGTGATGCAATAGGCTAGATTTCATGGTTACGCAACATATATGAAGACCAAATTTGGTAAGTATAAACAGGTAAATAGACTTCTAGATTTTTTAGTCGAGTAATTGCTGCTTTAAAAAAGGCTATTGGAAAGAATCGGATGGTTGAGGTTTTGTGCCAATCACACCCTCCCCCTCCACCACCCCCACCCCCACCCCCACCCCAGCATTACCGATATATGTGGTTATTTTCATGGACCTCAACAATTAACTAGTTGCACTATTAGCCAACTTTGTTAAGAGGCGAAATTCCTGCATAAGAGATGAATGCATCGCGCTAAGAAAATTATAACTCAGAAAGTTTTAATTCGTCCTTTGGGGTCAAAGATAAATTGAGTTATGCAAGTTCAAGGTGACTTCAAATGATAGTAATTAGCTACCCTTTTAAGATCAAGCGCGCTTTGCCATTACTCAAGATAAGTGAACTCAAAAAAATACTCAAATCGAAGATTTTCAAATCAAATATGAGCGTTTTAAAGGACTCTTGGGGTTCGCTGAAGTTGCCACTTTGTTAGAAATCCCAAATCAAATCAGAAGTAAAATAGAGTCAACTTCCATCCAAAACGCACAAAAGTCCCACGTTAAAGCAATAGAACATAAACTCTCTCACACATACATGCACACACATAAGCACACTACTACGAAGTTAATAACCTAAAATTTGGAAAAAGGTACAACCGAAATTAAGTGGTAGAGAGAAAAGAGGTACGACCAATATTAGGCTTCACGAAGCGTGCCAAGACATAGTGGGACTCACCAGGGAAGAAGGGTTCATTAATAAGTTTCTCTGGTATTCTCAGAACCTGCGGACACTCGGTTCCATTACAACTCCATGAGGCAATGCCTCGATCCAAATCCAGTCGGCATCCAATCACTGTGCCCCGCGACACAACAATCCTATTTCCTTCGGAGAAGTCTGTTTGTTTGCCCTTGAAATTCAAGGTGGCACCCGGTTGGCCGTCAATGACATTACCCAGCACAAAGGCCTGATCGTCACAGCCCAGTGGACTGAGTGCAGCTTCATTGGTTGCCCAACCCACACAAGCAGGACCATCTTCAAGGACTGTAGCCTCAAAGTAATAGCAACCTGGAGCTTTCACACCCTTGTTGGCTCGACAACCCTGAGGAAAAATGCAAGATGGAGAGTAATCAAGTTACAAAAGGGCTTAATTAAGCAATTAGGCAGGTTAATTATATAAATAACCTGCTGTTATTCACCGTAAGGTGAGTAATTGGTGGTCTTCTATAACACCTCCAGAGAGTAAACAGTGAATTCTCCCACAAAACTCCAAAGACTATCAATATTTGATAAGGCAAAGGAAGAGGGGGGAGGGGGCGAAGAGAACTAGTGAGACAAAGATCCATTCTCAACTCTATCGTGGCATACTGACAACTGTGATATCAGTAGTGCTAGAAGTGGGACTTTGAAAGAGGAGATGAATTTGTTAATCTCAGTGATATATGAGTGGGCACAGGAGACAAAGGTGTTTATAATGCCTCATGAAAGCTTTGCCCAATTATCAGACGTAGAATGAAAGTTAATAAGCTAAAAGTCATTTTCTTTTCACATTCAGCATGGAAGGAAAATAGCTATTACATGGGAAATAGAAATGGTTACCCTGAGGAATCTTAAGACGCGGATTTAGTAAGAGATTAACTTTTCGGGAAAAAAACACCGTCCAAATGAATAGTTAGCTTTAAAAGTTGACAGATCCATTTTAAAAAAACATAATCTATTTTACATTCAAAAATAGGTTTGGCAAAAGGCACCTCTCAATTCAAGAAGTGGCCCACACAAAGTAGACTGAAATAAGAAGACACTGAAGAGCCTATCAACACAAATTATTATTAACCCATAATAAGACTCAACTGGTAAGTTTTTTTCGGTTGCTGTGAATCTAGAGCAAGAACACAGTCGTGAAAATGGAAGTTCAGTGTCAAATTCCAACCAATATGTATGTATGTGTGTGTTTTATGTGATAGGTTCAAATTAGACGCCAATTACCTGCCAGCCAGAGTCGCGTTGAGCAGCAATATCCAAACCGCGATCATCAATACCCAAGCACCGACTTCTGTCAGCGTTTGAGATGCGCCAGGGCTCAGGTTTGAAGACCGGTCGAGGTTGGTATTCCAGGTTGGCACCGCTGGGACCAAGACGATACTGACCACCGGCCATGTCTACAGCAGATTCTCCTCCACCCCAATGTTCTGGACTGTAACCGGTGGCTCCCAAAGACGCATCGCCAGCAATTTGGGGTGCGTATTGATATTGCGAGGCGTCTCCGCCATAAGCTGGAGTTACGTAGGAAAGAGAAGGGAATAATTTTTTTTAGAATGGAAAAGAACCAAACATAGGAGAGAAAAGAATACATCTACTAATAATTGACGACAACTAGAGATTTTCCGACCAGTGAAGAAGAAGGAAATGAAGTGACTTAAAGTGCTTTTCAAACTAATGCTTTAATTGCTTAAGCAATCCAATAGGTGAGAATGAACTAGAATACAAAAGGAATAGTAAAATCAAAGCATTCTTAGAGCTTGCAACTGTGAAAGCTAACTTGCAAAGAACGACAACTGGAGCTTTTTTCACAAAAGTAGCCAAAAAAGTGTTATTGCTAAATTAGATATGTTAACTACTGGTTGGGTTAAAAGCCAAAAGTGTTCAAGGAATGGTTAACCAACACTCCTCTTGGGTATGGGGGATAGTTTCAGGAAACTCATCCGATAATGAATTTTAATCCTTCACACCCTCTTTGATACATCCTTGGCGAATAGCAGTTTACGATATCTATTTCAACATAACTGAAATCACTCAAAGATCGTGAATGCCCAGTTTTGGTGTTTCAAAAGGCTAACCTCAATCCACAACTAAAAAGTGAACATTGCTGAAATAATTTTACCATATCCACACCAAGAACCAAATAAGTAGAAACGAGAGCAATCGTGGATTCATGCACATGCACAGATAAAGACTTTTTTATAAAAAAATAAATACTGAGACAAGCCAACTAGCATCATGGAAAAAATATCACCCAAAAGAAGCAAGATCCAGTAGGACCCAAAAAACGCTACTTCAAAGGGAAACGCATGAAAGCTAAATAGCAACGGTTTAGGGTGGGCAGACTTGGATATTAAGGTTCAGCTAGGCGGGCCTAACGATTAGAAAGACCACCTAAGTGGATTTACGTCCCCGTCTATAAAGTAAGGTCCAACTGCAAATCGTGCTAATATTCTAAGGCTAAGTCCTAGAAGAAGCAACTCATTAACGAATGCCAAAAAGTCTAAAACCAGCAGTTTCTGAATGTAGCTCATATGATTCGATTTTCGATTATTAATGAGATTCCAATAAAGTGAATGAAGAACAGCTTCATTCACTTTATTGTAGGCCAATTCACTGCGCTGATAGGATTCCGAAGAAACAAAGCTAATGGGGGTACGTGTTTACACCTTGTCTCGGGACGACCAAGCCCCTAAGGTTATCTCTATGCCACCCACCAACCTTATCAACACGAGGAAGTACATCGCGTCTAACAGTTTGAAGGTTATTTGCGGCTAGATTGTTGTCAATCCAGGGAGACATTGTTACCCCCCCCCCCAACATCAGCAACACAAAAAACAGCTTACATTCCATTCTAATGTCTTTCAATTAAAAAAATGTTTCTGATTAACCGCATTCCACCGTAGCCTTCTCTTTCACTTCTTTAAGTCAACTAGAGTCCAGTGACATCCAGTGGTCAAACGTAGCAGCAATATTAGATATTCTAGCAGTACTAGAGAATAGAATTGTAAGGATTATCAAAAACAACTCCCCACTTGGATCAATGATAACAGTCGTTGACAGAGTAACCAAGAAAGCAGAATAGTTGATAGAGAGGACAAACTACGAGTACAAACTATTGTCCAAGAATTGATCCATCGACAACTGACAGCCACAAGGACCCAAGGAGTTAATTAAGGATTCACCACATGATGATAAAGCCAATTAACACAAAATTATAAAGCAAGTAAAATATGAGAGATAGCAAATAGTAGGGACAATTGGGGTTGGATTAGTTGTGAAAAGCATTAGCTGCTTTCAAGTAAACTAGAAACCGGTAAGAAAGGAGGACTTTCGTTACCCACTTTCGCACCACTTCAATAAAGGAGATGATTGACTTTGACAAGCAATATTCCAAATAGCAAAAGGTCAAAATACCGAAGTGATTACGATAATAGTCATTTGGCGTCAAAAGTGCTGATTCATTTCGAATTTGTCCAAAAATGAGAAGAGTTACATTAAGATGGAGAATTCATAAATACGTTAAAATTGCCTTCTACATGTTTTACATAGAAAAAGAGTGCGTGGTTACAACGATAAATAGGATTTTGTGATTGATTATCATGTCATTTCAGAGAGAGAGAGTGAGAGAAGATCATTAATAACTTAGAAATCTGAATTAGGAGCTTCGAGACAGTTTTCAATCAGAACAAAATTTCAGGGGTCAAAGATAGGAAAGAAAACTCACCGAATAACAACCGTGAAATTTTGAATCGACCTAGTACTTAGGTGTAATCTATTTAAGTTAGTCAACTTATAATGTGTACCTGGAGAGAAACAGTGGCTTATATTAGTTTCAAACCCACCAGCTCAATAGAACAACTAACTTATTTGTGAAATGAAATCCTACTCACATAAGTAAATCGAGTAAAAACCTTTCTCTAGAACAGTAGCTTTGGTCACTATACACTATTACACTATATAGTAGTCCACACAACATTGAGCTCATTCAAAATAAGCAACACATAATAGGAATTGGATAGCAGAAACCTGAACTCGAAACCCTATCTAAGGGAAAGACATTATTAAAGGGAATTTTTTCTAAAAAAAGATCAATTCAGTCTAACAGTACAGTTAGCTAGCAACCCTCCTCTATCCTCCTTTTTTCCGCTTAATCTTCTTCTGAGGTGAAAAGTACACAAAAGAAAGCGAAACCCATCAGTGATAGAAAATGACGTGGGAGAAATAGGCATGCAAATGTCAGAAATAAGTAGAAAGGAGAGGATGCGAGTGATAAAAAGCCAGGTAAAAACTTACGATTCGTGCCACCATGGGGCAGTGTGAACCAGGCTGTAGGGGAAGGGGAGAAAAAAAGAAACCGAAATGTTAGCCGAGGTTTTGAAATAATAAGAACATCGTATCGTATCTACTTAAGTCATATATATAAGTAGTTTATGTCTACCTTGCTCATTGGATGATGGCTGTCTACGTTGGGGTTGCATTCGACGAATGGCAGGTTGAGGACGAAGGTTGTGTGGTGCGGCGGTTTCTGGGGGACAAGCTGTGAGGTCACCAAGAGAGCTACCCATGCCCGGGTGATTGTAGGTGAATTTGCGACTCGAAAATCCGGGCAGCACGCTGGGTTTGCGAGAACGCTCGTAGTCTCGCAGTCTGGAAGAAAAAGAATGTCCAAGAAACCATTGCACTTTCACGGATATCTAAGGTTAACCGGACTAGGCAATTCATGAAAGCGGGCAAGAATTTAGAGATTCGTAACATTTCAAGAAAGGTGATTTTTTTTCCCAGGTGTGTTCAAGGAGGGGGGTGTTTCTCCCAGACATTGACATTCAACCAATCCTCAAGTTGCAAAGAGATAACTCATGGATTCGCACTGTTTAAGAACGACCTCGTGATCTCTGATTCATCAGGCAGACATGTCAGCCACAGTGCCATGGAAATGTAACGAGTGATGACACATAGTTATCAACGTTTTCTCCAAAACTAGAAGACGAACACGTTTCGTCTTAATTATCCTCCGACCATTCTATGACCTGGTGTGGCCTAACCTCCATGTTTATATATATTTGATTTGATTAATGACACGCGTAATAACTTGTAGAACTTAACAAGCCGCTAAGCCACCGGCCCTCCCTTTTTGATGTCAAATGCTTAGATGGAAGCTCTCCTTCGATTCAATCTGTTAGCCATTAAATTTCTTCCATTGCCTTGTGCATGCCTGACGGAATGAAATGGTGCCGAGTGGTATAACCATTTCCACCCCCCCCCCCCCCCCCCTATTGAATTATCAAGGTTGGTGAATACTTTCCAGAGAATTTGAAGCTCACAAAGTTGGAAAAAAATAACCATGACATATGCATAGTGGCGAGCGGTGAGAAATTGGTTGGTTGTTATTTTATTTGCAATGGGAAATAAATTGGATGATGTTGACGATAAATTCTAAATATATGTATTTTTTTCGAATACAAAACAAACGCAGAAAAATACAAAAAATTAATTTGTTTAGACTGAAGTAAAGTTTCTGAAAAAAAGATACTATCCAGTCTTGTGTTAAATCAGGAATATCGGAATTAAGACTAGACGTCTTAGGAAAAAATGTCTGGGATTATTTATTATCTTCCCTTTTGTCCAATAAAACAGAGCGGAAATAACTCTAAAACCCGAATATATTGGTCATAAGACCAATAAAACAAAAAGAATAGTTTTAAGATAATAGTGCAGTCAATTGTACCAAAGTGGGAAATAGAGTCAAAAAGGAGTGGACAAGAGGGTATTGAAAGAAAAAAATGACAATTCACACACGCACACACACACACACAGAACTGCAGTGTGATAGTATTTTCAGGTTTAATTATCCCTACCTGTGAAGAGAAATCGATTCGTTAAATGGATAGTAAAGAGTTCACTCCTTTTTTTCTGGTGGCAAACGTGGAAAATACAGAGAGACAATATAAGTAGGAACTCCTGCCCTCCTCTCCCCCCCCCCCTCCCCCCAAGAACCGAGAGTGTTGCCATATTCGCGAAAGGTTCTTAACTTTGCTAATGGTGTAGGGTTGAATGAAATTCCGGTGCAACAACACAAAACGCCTTCCTAATGACAGAATGCCGACCATTTACCCAATGTAACACTAAGTGTGAAAGAAAAAGCTCTTTTAGGAACATGGCGCAGGCGTACACTTGTGTATTTTGGGAGGCAAAAAAACAACTGTTGAAAATGTGGGAAGAAGGAGGGCGGGAAGGGGGTGGTGGTGACGGTTAGGACAATAGAGGCGCGCTCGGTGGAGCAATACTTTTGAGCTTATAAATCGACCACAGTTGTGTAACTGGGAGTGCGTGCGCGCACACGCACAGCACACTTGGGGCATTGAACATAGGTTCGCAGTGAAACAAAGCAATTCCGGCCAAAATAACTCATGTGTGGAAGTGGTGCACCAATGGGCTTTAACGAGCATTGTAGCAAGGCTACACACAATAAGGTGTTTTTCCCCACATTATATTGACTGCTTCAGAAAGAATATTTAAAAGTACAGGATTCAGGGCATTTAAGCAGATTCCAAAGAAAGTTTTTTCGTGAAAACTTTTCATCCCCAAAAAAAGAGAGCATAATGATTCACAGGGCTTTCTGACCAGGCAGTTATCAAAGACCCTTTCATACCACCAGACCCAGGATGAATACCAGCTGGTTATCTTGGATACACTTCAAGGTGGATGGCGTTCAGAAAGTCCCTGCGGTTAGGAGTCCATATTGAGGCAGCGGAAAAAGACTTGAACTACTTAACCACATCTTAACTTAACGAAATCTGAAAATTGACGGAGTTTGCTTTTGGGGTTTCCTCTCCCCTGAAAGTCCGATTTGTTTGCCAATTTCTTGCCTGAAAACAAAGACTCACTTGCTAGTTAGGTGTTGCCAACTGATGACTTTATGCAATAAGTCGTCAAGGCCGACTTTTGTGAATAAATAGCCAAAAATGAGAGACACTTAGAATCTATATTGACAACAATGATATATATATACGGTGATATCATATTATTACATTCAAGATCACCAAAAAACATCTTTAACCACTACCACCACATTGGAAAAAAAAGAATAGTATAATGGAGCCAATATAAATATTCAAGATATCGAGTGCCTTAATAAAGTAAGACATGTTCCTTATTACCAACACCCCAATGAATAAATTCAGCCCGAAATTTGGGAAAAAAACTCCACTTTTGCGCGGTCTATTTTGCCATTTCTTCCCAGAACATAGTTGCAAATATAGTACCTCTAATGAAAGTGTGCACTTTCAATTAATCGTTCGAAACAAACAGCATTCCTCATTTCAGATGATCAGCTGTAAGTGGAAGAAACCCATGCATTCCACTATGACTCTAACGACAAAAAGCCATTCAGCACAGCTGATATAGGGGGGACTAATTGGCTAATTGGTTGGGTGGTATTTGATTACATATTTCATTGAAGTTTGATGTCTAAAATAGATGTCAGATAAATGGGATAGTTTACTACAAAATGCACACAAAACAAAATGTTAAATCAAAGTCAAATTCGAGTGACGATTGCTTTCAAAATTTTATTATTTTTTTTTAATTCTCCCCAGTATTTCAACACATATGACCTCTAGGACTCTTAAATCTATTTACCGGGATGGTCCTTGTCAAATGTACTGTTATAGTTTTTTTGATAGAATTTAGAAACTAAAAAAAAATAAACAAAAACAAAATTTTTAAAAAGAGAGGCATTTTGGTGGTTAAACCTGGGCAAAAGAAGGGCATAAAAAGTTAGAATGGTCTTATTTGATGGGTTGACTTCTCAGTTTATCACATTTTGGAAGAGTATCATCTGATATTAACACATTATACATTATATGCATTAAATGGGGGGTGTGCGATAGACTTACCTCCACGTGGCGCACCCTGGGCAACTTATACTCACACGGCAAAAAAGTCTATAAACATGAAGTTGACTTCTGACTTTAAACTATCATGGCCTACTGCAAGTCATATTCGACCCCTATCACAGTACTCATCTTACCCTTCCTGAGCATTTGTGTCTGTCTGTCGCTCTTAAATCTGTGAATCACACTTCTGTACCCTCTCTTGAATTTTTCTCACTTTAATGTTACTCCCCTCTGTGAAGCACGAAGTCAGCTCAAGGGCCAATAATAACCATCATACGGCCTGCCATTTGAAATAAATAAATAAATAAATATGCATTAAAATTTGAGCCTTAACGCACATACCTGAAAAAGTTGTGATGCTCCACACAAAGGGTCCAGAGTTGTTTGGCTCTTTGTGGTGTAGTGCAGCGGAAGCCGTATGTCCTCTCCGATTGATCCCCATCCAGGGAGCGAACAATCATGATGAAGTGACGTTTTCGATAGGAAAGTTTAATAATCCTTGGCCACGAGAAACGCTGAAGACGAATACGACTCAAGTAGAGTAGAAGGCCGCCGTAATAGACTCCAAGTCCATGCTCGACGCCAGAGGAACTCTAACAACCAATAAATGAAAAATAAATCCCAGTATCTCCCCAAGAGGACAATTGTGAAAGTCCCCAGTCAATATTATAGATGTAAGATGGCCCAGAGCAAAATGTTTACTTTAGTACTAACATAATGATGCATTTTTGTTGATAAAACAATAGTCCGGAAGAAACTTACAACAAAATGAGGACATAGAGAGAGAGTAAGTTTCACTTTATTCAAATTTGGGCTGAAATCAGTGTAAAATCATTAATATTGCTGGAAAAAAGTCCATCAGATATGTGTGTTGACTAAAAACTGGGAAATGTTGATCTCGAAAAATTTCGTCTGCAAAAAGGAAGGAAGGGAGGTTGTTTTCTCTTAAAATTTCCAGAAATTTTAAGAAAATGATTACCCTTTTCCTAATTACCTATCCTAGCCACCAGCTCCCTCTTTCCCACGGTATTCATATCTCCTTGTCAAGTAATTGGCAACGAGAGTAAAATTTCGATAGGAGGTAAATTTTTAGCTCATAAATCTTACAGCTTCCTCGGGGGTATTGATTTAGCTAAAGAACGCTTTCTGGGACTATCAATTTGTAAATTCTAATGCAATATGTTAGAAAAGAATCCCAACCTCCATCGATTAGACATGAAGCTGAGTACTCAAAAGGATGCAAGCACATACACATTTTAAAAATTATTTGGTACTAAATCGGAGTGTGGTTTCATAAACAACTAAATACCACCCAGTCTGTACATATGGCTTAACTTATTTCAATGATATGGGGTGTGCAATAGGCTTACCCCCATGTTGTGCACCTTGGGCAACGTATACTCAAACGGCAAAAAAGTCCATTAATCGGCAGTTGACTTCTGACTTCAAACTGTCATGACCCCACTGTATGCCATATTTGACCACTTCCACATTACACATCTCACCTTCTCTCTGCTTTTGTCTGTCTCTTCTACATCTGTGAATCATTATTCTATCCCTTCCTCTCGACTTTATGTCACTTTGATGTTCTTCCTCCTCTAAAGGGTTAAAGGGCTAATGAAAGCAATCAAATCGCCTACCGTATAAAACAAATAAATTTCAATGATATGAACCATTTGTGCGTCATATCACTGGCAGGACAAAATCGAATACAATTTCAAAAGGAGTAACTGAAATGAAAAAAAACCCAATGTTTTAAAATTGGGGGTACTTCTCGCTCGATCAATCCTAACACACAACTTGTCCGGTGACAACTTTTGCACCTCTCACTGCATTCCCTTGATGAAAAGAGTAGCGAAAAAAAGTGCTACCAACAACTACAAATAATTTAAGTATAAATGACAAGTAATCAAGCCAATTTTTTGGCAACTTACGAGAACTTTGTGCATGTGGACGCCGTAGAGGGAGAGTCGCTTCGCGTTAGTGAGGAAGTTCCGATCGGCCATTTCGGGAGATTGGCCACTGTAAGGAGCACAGAAAAGAAAAATGAGATGAAAAATTAGGGGAGCGGTACATGGAATGATGAATTATCCCCCATCTCCCCCGCATCACCACGTGGATGGTAGAGAAGGAAATGTTAAATAGAAAATCAGGTTGAGTAGAAAAAATTGGGTTCACCGAACTCAATTTATAGGTTAGTTTGGAAGTGGTAAATAAATAGCACTGCATGAACAGAGGTAACCAAGTCAATGTAAATAGTACTCTGCAAAATAAGTGAGCACCAAGACTCTTTCTCTCTCTCTCTCTAAGCAACTCGTAAATTGAGGAAGTTGAATCCACTTATCAAGCAAACTGAATGATACTTCAAAAAAAAATTCAAAACATTTTGAATACTGACAAAGTTGAAAGGAGGCTATAAGAAACAATGTCCACATATACCTTAATTGCCGATTCAAAAATTATGGAAATAGAGATTAAAAATTAAAGCAGTGCGATAAGAACGCCAATGCATATAACTTAAAAGGGATATCCAGCACTATCACCTTGACGAGGAGAAGTGTTCAAGAATTACAATGTGAATTATAGCATAGAAGTAGAGTTGATGAAGGAGGTTCAAAGCAAGTTGCCACGACCAATACAGTGGTTATCCATCATACGCGCACGTCACCTTAGTCGACATGATGGATGGGTGAATTAGTCATCAGTCAACCACAAGTAAATTAACACCCTGTGTAAATATGGCCAAATTCCACCTGATCGAAAAGTAGTCAGTAATTCTAGACCAACAAAGGAGCTTGAATAAACAAGAAAAAATTGATGAAGCTGTTGTCTCGTTAAGGTTGTCTTTGCGCTCTTCATTTATGCAATTCAGTACTGAAAGTTGGGAATATATTCACGTGTAACTCAAACGTATAAATGAAAGGACTGATCTCAGCCTAAGCCAAGTAAATAATATACAACCTCCTACACAAATAATAGGAGGTTTATCATTAAACAAGTTGTCAACGAGACCTAGAGACAGGCTATTTATGCCAATCAATCAAAAGAAAAGGAGGAGAGAATAGAATATTGCAGAAGCCACAAATGGTAGCTTATTAATCAATCATGACAAATGTGACGAGAAAGAAAGCTAATAGAGCTAACCAACCCCTGTGACCAAAAGAAGGAAGAAACAAAGACCTCTGCCTGACAAAATACCAAAAAACCTCAAGTCCAATCATGCCTCGAGAGGGTGAGAATTGGTAATGGGATTGATTGGCAAAGTGCTTAATTCATTTCAGATAATCGAATTAGTTTGTGAGGAATGATGCATTTCTGCATGTCATAGGTTTCCTTTGCCAACTCTCTGACCATACAGGCGTCGACAGCTTGAGCACTTTGAGGTGTGTGTGTGTGTGAGTGTGTGTTATATATTCTGTTCAGCCGACTGGCCAAGAATCGAAGCCGTTGCTGAGAAATAGAGAATGCTTATCAAAGGATCATTAAAACTTCCTCAGAACATATTTATAGATTGAAAGTACATGAAAATAGTAAGATTATGGAAAATAAAAGCTTGTTTTTGTTGCATTAATAGTTATTAAATGGTACTGGGAAGTACTGCAAGATACCATATTGAATCACTTCTTACTTGTTTGTGATATGCCTAATTTTAAAACTCCTTTCCCACTTTCTCCGTCCAAATTTGAAGAGATTCCAGGTGCAAAATTGGATGAAATAGTTAATTCTAACAAATAATCTATATTAAACTTATTACTTAGATAAAAATTAAGTGGAGTGAACTATGCAACAAAATTGTCAATTTCTAGGTGCAAGAAATGGAGTTCAATCCACAGTCTGAGTAGAAATCACCGAAGACCCAAAATTGTGAAATCAAGGTACTTCCATGCGGTTTACTCACACTCCTATTCTTTGGTTAAGTCACAATGAGTTCCACCTTTACGCATGTTCGTAAGTTTTATTTACTGGCCTCATAAGCGAATTAGCATGAAATTACTCGTATTTTTTGGCGATCATTTCAGAATTTCGATCGCTTTTCGGTCCAGTTATAAAGAGAGTTACCTCTTATTATTAACACGCAAAAACATCGTGAATGAGGAAAGGAAATAGTTTTGCTCCAAATACATTGTTATTTTTATGTTATCATTAGCCCTTTAGTTGACTTCAGTCTTCACAGAGAGGAAGGAACGTCAAAGTGTAAAAAAATTTAATAGGGGGGGGGGAACAGAAGAGTGCATCAAAGACGAAAGTAGATAAGGTGGAAAAAAGGTGGGATGAGTTCTGTGAAAGTAGTCGAATATAACATACAGTGGGGTCATGGTAGTTTGGAGTCTGAAGTCAACTGCCGGTTAATAGACTTTTTTGCCGTATGAGCATACGTTGCCCAGGGTGCACCACGTGGAGGTAAGTCTATCACGCACCCCCTGCTTCAAATACATAATTGAGACTGTATTAAGAGGATCAAAATTCATTTTGCAAGAGAGATTT